CAGTCCCGAGCGTGGTTAGAAATGTTAAGTCCCAAGCAGACACCAGTTCCGCGAGGTCTGCTCTGCTTCCCCTGGTGACAATAATGATAACGATCCACTGCTGCGAGCTGCTTCTGTCCCTCTCCTCTCAGCAACCAGACTGTTGGCGCAGGAAACTCTTGCCCTCTGCAAAATAACCTTTAACACTTTCTTTGTTTTTGTCTTAAATCCTCTCTGCTCTTAAGGGTGGAAAACAGCAGCTGGTTTAGTACGGTTCCTAGGTGGTGATCCCAGAAGGAAAAAAGCCAAGCTAGTGATTTCCATCAACTCCAAAGCATTACTGTCCTTTACTGCATATAAGTTACACACACAGCCATCTCCAACACAATTCCTACACTCAAAATTGAAAACATTCACAGCCTGCGAGGTTTCCAGACCTTCGTCATACCTTTACAACTCTGGATGCCCTGCCAAGAGATTACCTGCTTCAAGCATTTGGTGTATTAAATGCTTTGAGACTATGTTTTAGGCTGCGCATAGTAGCTTCAAAACAGCTGAGGAGAAACCATAGAGTTTTCACAGTCGGGGTTTCAGTGAGGAGCACACTGTTTATTCTCCACTGCAGGTGGGTGTGAGAGTGACTTACAGCTACCCATAGAGAAGAGGCAGCTATTTCGGAGGAAGGAAAAAACCCAAGGATTTTTGGAATTCCATATTCCAAAGCAAGCATTTTAGATTGTTTTTCTAACTCTCAAAATAAGGCTCTTTTCCTCTTTCCAAGCAGAGGAATCACATTGAAAGGTTCCTTTTCAAGTGTTTTGTTTGCGTAAATCAGTCCAGAGATGAAATGGAAGAGGGAGCATAAAACCCACATTCAGAAGCCATACCTACACCTTTATCTGGACAACAGCAGACAGCAACACGCAATAATATTGTCTATTCCAGGAAAAACTCTCTGATTTTCAAACTGATGAGAAATGCCAGAGTCCTTTATAAGTGGGACTGGCGCTGAGAACCCAACAGCAGCAGGTCCTCTCGTGCTGAATGAAAGGCAACAGGACCTGGAAACTGGAAGAGCAAAAGGGACGACCTCTCTCTTCCCAGAAAAATGAAACAAAAAAACCCCTGTGCATATACATTAAAAATAATATGATCAAAAGGAGGGACTCTTACAGGGACAGAGAACTAGGAATGACGCACGAGGCTGTCACCCATAAAAATTGAAAGCGTATTTTACCATAAGCGAACAGTCCAAAAGCACCCTTACCTGACTCTTACCACGCTCTGAAAAGATGTTCCCCCAAAACACACACTGATTATTCAGTGGGGCAGAGCCAGAGCTGAGACCATCAGTTTTGTTTCAAACAGGCCATGAATGCCGTTTTATCACAACGCTCTCTAGAAGGCGGCTCAGACTAAGTGCCCGATAGCAAAGCACAAGACTGATATTCAGAAGCAAAGCACCTGCTTCAGAGAAACTGGGAACCCTGACCGATCGTCCCACGAACAGGTCAGCTTGCAGCCTTACCGGATGGTAAATTCCAGCAGCTCCTGTATGCCCTGCGGGTCAAGGTGCTGAAGGTTGTAAACCCTCTCCAGGCTCTGATGCAGGAACTGCTGGGAAGGATCTTCATGTGGTGTGATGCTGGGAGAGACAGGGGAGGACACCAGCTTCCTACCTGGCAACTAAGCAAGAAGAAACACATGCAAACAGAAAAGTCTAACACAAGTAACAACACTGCAAGATGCTGCTGCATTATTTAACAGCTACCAATTGAGAGCTCTGATTTATTTCTCAAATTCAAAGTTTGTATCAAGGATTTCAAGTCTACGCCTTTCATCTTTGTTAGTTAATACTCTCCATTTTATAATCCACTTGCAGCTAGAGATCTTCAGGTTAAACTTCAACATCCCTTTAAGGGAAATATCTTTCCCCATCCACCAACGATGACACTGTGAAGTCAAGGGAAGACCAAGACCACACAAACCACAATTGGCTTTACGAGCTGCAATAAGACCTATGACCAACTTCAGTCCCGCCTGTACTTCCATACAGGAAAAGCGTGCTTCAAAGCGGCCAGGGAACACATCTCAGCAGCAAGTAAACTGTTTAGGTAGGACACAAGCCAAACGCTGGAAGGTCTACAAAGGCTAAGCTCCCCTTCCCCACACAGTGAGAGCTACAGAAACTCCCAGGACTCCTGCCCTCCCAGTATTCTTTCCTAACCAGCAAGCCATGTGCTATTCTCACTTGAGAGCAATAACGTTATTATTCTCCCCAAAATATTACAAAATCCGTATTGTAACAATTTAATATTTGGCTCTCCTTACTTAACGTACATTTCAATATTCATTCGCTTCGTGCTTGGGAGAAAAACCTTTTAGAATCGAAGTGTTACACACTGACGGACACGGAGGAGACCAGCAATGGTCGTAACAGAGCGGCAAAGTGCAAACCAAAGGGGCTCAACTCACTCTTAACGGAGGGACCAGATGAGAGAGACTGTCCCGAAGATAGGCGTAATGTCTGAACGTATGATCAGAGAACAGGGCAGGCATCGTTGGGCAACTTTTAGCGGCATTAAAAATCAGAACCAGAACAGCAATGTCTATTGAAATGGATTGTTAAAGAAAAATAAACAACAGCAAGAATTGCTCCTTGGGGATGGCAAGTTAAACCAACAACAACTCAACAACCCTTTCTTTGCTGGAGATTGTTTAGGAAGTTCTTTACAGTTGGAGAATGCTGAGCGAAACCCAAAGAGGCAGCTGCCTGAGCAGATGAAAACAAAGTACGAAGCACAAACATTACAGGATGGGCCATATTGGAGGAAAGATGTTACTGCCAACATGGGATGGCTCAGAGGCAACACAAAGGATAGAAGCCAGGGATTCTAAATGCAGAACATGCTCATTAGGTGGAGTTTCACTCTTCCTCAAAGCTTACACTGTGCTTACCAGTTTGGTACCCAAACACCGCCTAAAATTAAACGTTTACCTCTGAGTCTTTGAAAATGGCTGCATTTCCTATGATGCCCTGAAAAACATCCCTCTTACACAGACATAAAACAAACCAAAGACTCAAACATGGGAAGGTGATTCTGGAATAGAAAAAAAACATTTTCACAGTCTGAGAGCCCAAGAAATACAGAGGGCAGCCAAAGGCTTTGATCAGTTAGCCCAAAGGCTGGGGCACTCAACTGCAACAGGGCTGACCCCAGGCGTACGGTCTCTAACAGGAGCACGTGAAAGGACCCCAATGCAAAGCTTATGATCCTCTGGGCACTCGCCTGCACGGGGAAGAAGCAGGTTCAGCCACAGAAGGGACTGAATCCACTCTCTCGCCTCCCAAAAAATCTTCTGCATCCATGGGCTGCCAAGCGTAAAGGTTGCCACTTGACAAACCTATTTCTCCTCTTTACACAAAATCCTTTCCAGATTTTCAGCTGAAACTACTCAACTAACCTGATTCAAATTTGCTAAGTGCTTTGAATCAAACTAAACCATGTTTTTAGTTAACAGTTTACACTGGAAACATACCATTCGGGTCTACCTTGTAGCTTCTGGCTCCCAGGCCCGTCTTCACATAATAGAGCTCCATAAAATTTGGTGGCAAGTTACCTCCAGCACATTCTCCAAAATCATAATATTTGGTTCAGGGCAGGAAGGTGCATCGAGCTAAACAACAGCTGTCTCCCTGCCCCGATGTTCCTTCAATTCTCAACTCATAGGACAAATTTACTCAAATCATTAGTCAACCATCTGATTACGGATTAATCCTTCTCTTCACCCGACCCTAGCCCTTTTCAGTTCTCACACGCTATTTATTTAATCTGCATAGAATTCCTAGCTGATGGCCTGTGACTGGTGGGAGAAATAAGGAGTAGCTTCACAGGGGAAGAGAGTTGTTCCAGTCTAACATGTCCCAGCATGCATCAGAAATAACATTACGTTCTGCAATCGCACAGAAGGGAAGCAAGGAGAATGAACAATGGGAAAATAGTATTTTGCATTTCCAAGGCATCTCCTATTGTTAAGGACAATGGTATTACAATAACAGTTCATATTCTAAAGCACTAGAAGAGCTACCATTAATATAAGGATTTCTGATTTTGAATTATTTCAAAAAGATGGTAAATTTATAGCATCATGGGGATTCAGCCACTACTGTACTAGGAGACAGTGCTGTTCTGTACACTGCACAACAGTGAGAACAGGAGAAGTTTTACCCAAAAAGAAAACAGACCCGGAAAAATCACTCCTCCTCTTTAAAAGCTAAAGCATCTTCAAAATTAGTGCAAACCAGAGAAACGTTTTCACTTCAAAGGACTCATCTGCAACGCCTAAACCTTGACAAATTGCTTGATAAACAGATTATTCATCACAGCATAAAAAAAGGCCAATTACACCACATTGCTATTTACGAAGATGGTTCCAGGTAACAGTTATTCCATCACTTGTTGAGTGATAAAACTAAGTGGCAAAGGGATTCAGAAATAGCTACAGGATTGTCTGCTACAGTTTGAAATGGTTTAACAAATGTGAGCATCAGGAAAATATGAATAAAATCTACTGCAGTCAAAATGATCAACTGGCTTCATTAAAAAGATACAGGCTGGGTCATCCATGTCTGGTTCTGGAGTGTCAAAGAACGGATGTGTGCTCAGCAACTCTGGGACTAATGGAAGCACCAAAGTGGGATGCCTGCTTCCCAAGAACTTCAAGCATCTGAAAATACACAGATTGAAATATTTCTTAGCAAATATGTACATTGTAAAACACAACATTATTACTTTATGTTGCAGCGGCACTTTGAGGTGCCGGTCAGCATCAAAATCCTACTGTGCAAGTGTATGGGCAAACTCACAGCAACACGGTCTCTTCACGGCTGAGTATCTGCGTTAATATTTGATAGAATCCAAGAAAACTGAGAGGACAGCTTGAAAAAGCAAGCAGTAATAAAAACTGTTTATTTAAACTGTCCAAGAAATACTTAACAGCTGGAGCTACACAACCCAAAAAAAGCTTTCATACTAAACACTAACAAATGAGTGTATTTTTTTTCCTTCAGAAATGAAGGAGCGAAGAGGTAAAAACCCAACCAATAACAAAACCCAAAAACCCCAAACTCCACCAAACTCCCAAAACAATGTAAGAGCAGAAGACAAAGCAGACTAAGATAAGTGTTTCCAATAATACCCAAGAATTCCATCTCAAACCATGTGTGCTGGAGCATCGCTTCCTTCGTTGCTTCCATTAAACAACCAAAAAAACCCCACGCAAACGTTTATTATTTTTGCTCAGACAGAAAAAGCCCCTCCAACAGCACAATGCCACGCAGCCAATCCACTTGTCACAACTGATATAATCAAATGCTGGTAAATATTACTATTTAATGCAGTGTCAAGTAAGCACAAAACATTAGTTACATAGAAGAGATGAGGTTTTAAACTGAAGGTTGCATTCATCTTTTCTGGGAATGCTTTGAGTGCTTGTAATAGAGGGCTATTTCCAGGAGTAGTCATGAGTTCTGGATTCCCAGTACAAGTATGGATGAGCAAGAACAACACAGAGTTTCTACATCAGTCACGAGTATGTACAATGCTTAGTACAGCCACTATTCCAAATATATACAGAATAACAGGATTGTATACCTACAATACCTGTTACCTCCTTAGCTAGCTCAATATTTGCTTAACACCTCAATTACTAAAAAAACCAGGAAAATAAGTAGACACACAAGGACACTGAACACACTCACTTCCATATGGATTCTCTGTCTGTGGGATACTTAGTCAGGTTTTTCAGCAGCTCCACCAGTGCAAGATGGATGCCTTCTTTAGTTGAGACATTGGTGCAACACAACAGTTCATGAAGCGCTTCCCGAATGTCCCTTGAAGAATCCTAAAAAAAACAAAAAAAAACAAAAAAAACCCCAGACACCTTTGAGTGCCAAGAGGGATGTGCCTGCCAACACAGTTCCTGTTCCTCGGCTGAATTAGTACTAGAGGCATCTGAAAAAGGACACGTTTCTAGTTATCATAGCTAAGCCCAGATGAAGTGACAGACCAGGCAACAGCTCCAGGGTCTCCTGCTGGTCTCGTCCACCCCAGTGCTTCATTTACTGGAATGAATGGGAACTGCTTCACCGCTGACCTTCTCAAGCAGAGCAAAAAAAAAAAATCACTCCTTGGTTTGGGTGATGTTGTACCCTTAGGCACAGGCAACAACAGAAAAGGAAAGCGCTGGGTAACTCAGCAAAACGATCACCAAAGATTGTTTTATCATCTTTGGAGAAGCCTTTTATCATTCCACGGCTAACGCCCAGTTCCAGAAGCCTTTAGCCCAGTCACCAGCCTCCAGTGGGTTTGTGTAAGCGTTGAAGACGTGTCAATGGCTGGACAGATTAGATTAACAGTGATCATCTATATAGGATAAAGGTACTTGACCTAACTATGGGTTTAGAGATGGACAATTGAAAAAAAAAAAAAAAAAAAAAAGTAAAACACACTTACAAATTCAGTCAGGAACTTTGTTATGATGATATGGGATCCCTAGTGTACCACTTCTCAAGTCACATTGCACCCATTTTACTTTTTAGGCCACAGTGAGGTTGTAAAGAGGAGCTTATGCAATCTGAGCAGTATTTTTAGAAGTGCTGTGGCTGAACTCCAGCTTAATTAATTACATTCCTTCTGCCAAGAACCACCTTGCTGTTCCATATCAATTTATACTTCCTTGCTATCAGCACTTGTGTGGCACTGCTGGACAGAGTGTGAAAATTTGACAGGATACAAGAACTGGATGCGTTTCAATAGTGGATTTTTTTTTTTTTTAAATTATAATTTGCTAAGTATCAACAGCTCATTCATCACTGTCTTACACAAAAGAAGAAAGAGCAGTCCTCTTGTAAAGGCTCTTAAAATGACGGCCAACACACACAAATGATCAAAGGAGAAAAGCACAGCAGGGCTGCTCAGCCGTTCCTTATTTTGGTGGTGGAAGGCAGGCTATGGCCAAAAGAGAAGACATACTCTAAGGACTGGAATGAAATGACCATGGAGGTAAAATACTCCAGGTGAGCTGCATGGACCACTGGAAGGGCAGCACAGAGATAAGCAAGGCAGAAGACCATGAAGGGACAGAGAGGAGCACAAATCAACAGAAACTGAGATCAAGGACAACGGGGAAAGCAGAATCCAAAGCCTTGTCAGAAAAGCAAGGTAGAGTTACCCAGATAAAGTCAAAGTCATGGGGTGAAAACAGAAGTTACCTCATCCCCAACTGTTCCATATTTACACTCCCGGAACAAATTTAGGCACTAAAGTTAATGCTATTTTTCCAAATCCTTTATTTTCGTACTGGAAGATAGACTTTACAGAAAGCAAGCAAGCACCTTTCAGAACCAGACAAACCCATTAAAATGTGAATCATTCTCACACTTTAGCTATCCTAATATCTGACAATAATTATGATAATATAACCATAATTATCATATAGGATAAGTCAGCACAGAAACGTAAGACAGAACCCCAGTCTAACTAGGACATTTTTATACCTTGATGCACAAGTCCCCAGCTTGAACAAACGTAAATCAGCTACATAAAAACGTGAGGTGTCTAAAACTCATTGCTGCATTTGCAAATTCAGATCATATTCTGTAGCATTTGTTAGACCGATAAAATAGGTTAGTTAGTTTGCTTCTTCCTGGGGCACAACGGGAAGAAGCCACTGTTGCCCTGGGTCAAGCCAACAGCAGGTGAGAAGACAGGGGTAGCAGATTTGCAGCAGCGCCCGAGGCTGGGAGACTACCCAAAAGAAGCAGAAACTTGCCTACCACATGCAGCAGAATAAAAAAAAAAAAAAAAAAAAAAAAAAAAAAAAAAAAAAAAAAAAAAAAAAGCCTCAGGGGCTCTAGCTCAGCAAATAAATCACATCTGAGGGGAAGCAGTTTGGGACAGCACTGTTCGTACAGGCCAAATCTCTTCCCCTTCCTGAATCAAAGCCATCAATAGGACCAGTAGCTGACTCGTGCTGTCCCCTGGATCCTAGCTGAGCACTGACTGGTTGGGAAAGGCCAAATCTACAGCGCAGAGCATGCTAACCAACCCTCTGAACAGTCAGAAGAGAGGTCTCCAGCCCGTGCCGTGTCTCTGCTTGGTGAGCAAAGGTGTAGCCAAAGCAGCTGAACAAAGGAAACGGAAAGAAAATGAAGTTGTATTCAACGTGAAGTGATGCAGAGTGCTGGACCGCAAAACAAGACAGAAGGAGACACGCAGGAGGCAACAGCACAGTGATCAAGGGAAGAGTTTTTATCTGAAATTCATCTATTTTAAAAGTATTCTGTTGTCCTAGAGATTACAAGCTACTAGACCTTAGGAGCCTTGGGGGGGCGTTCAGAGGAGAGGGAAAAAAAACCAACAACGAAAAAGGTGGAGAGTTTCAGCTCAGAGGAAGCGGCTAATTAGCTTTATATAATTATAACCACTC